CTGTGACGCCAAGCCCATTCCATTCAGTTGAGATGGGCGGACTGTGCTTCAAGAAGAACGGGGTGCATACTCCAGTCCGCTTGCTCCAGTTCGGCTGACCCTATCCAGACGCCGGTTGCGCCACTGGCCATGAACAGCAGATGATCCCTGGCGGGCACGCACGGGCGTCGAATGGTAGTGGTATTCACCAGCGTCTGAGATCAACGAACGAAACCAAGAAGCCACCGCGTCGGCTGCAAATCATCAACACACAGAAAAGGCCTAACCTCCAGCGGCATCGCCGGCGACGGCGACGCGGCCCCTCGGGACGTCGCAGACAGGCGTGGGGAGGATGGCTGGGCGTCCGCAGCGTCGGCGGGATTGTCGCAAGGGGGGATGGGGGTTGGGGCTTGGGAGTCTAGAGTCAACGTCATTGTGATGCTTCTCTCCGCACAGTTGATCGCTTGCGCTCTGATCACGAGGCATTCCCGGACAAGGCAGATCGTAGCCTAATATATCGCATTTGGAGTGTAGATATAGTGCACACATATGTTGTAACCGGAGACAATTTTTCGGCCTATTGCAGATCCAGTCCACTTTTGGCAGCGCGCCGTGGTTCTCAGCAACATTCCACAGGTTGGTGTATATTGCAGCCTTCATACTTGTGCACCAAGCTGCGGAACTGTTCCAGGAGCCATGGTGCGTTAGCGTTCAGGGGCAATGGGCAAGTAGTCGGCCACAACATTGCCCGGGTAAGGAGGGCAAATGTCGACAGGGGGTTATGCAGTGGTCGCCATGCGTGCCGCTATAGTGGGTATTTCACTCTACGGATCAGGGAAGTGCTCAAGAATCGCTACCGAGGATCGCTATTTCCTTTTCTTTGGCTGCTGATACAGTGGGAACTTTGTCGGGGGAGGGACAGCCATTTTGGAGAACTGGCGCTCGTCCAATGGTGGGCCGTGGTCGAGTTAAGTGCCGCGAGTTGTAGCACGGCTGATGATAAGTGTGGCGATGATGGGGTGGGTCGATGGGTGACATTCGTGAGGAAACTCATGATTTATGCCACTTTCAGATCGGCAACAATCTGGAGTATTGAAATTGAACAAACACCCAACGCTTCTCTTAATGCTGCTACAGATGTAGACACCACAGGCCAGCGTGTGACAAAATGCAAATGGCTGTGCGTCTCCGCTTCCTTCTGTACATACCAAAGAACGATTGGGCAACCGACAAGCTCATATCAGCTCACATTTGGGCTCACATGCCAACTGAATTTCTTGGTCAGTGGAAGCAGCAAAGCACTGGAATTTCACAACCCGCAAAAGACCATTTATTTTTATATGTTATCTATTTTTTGGGACCAGTTTTCAGGCCCCTATTGATCGTTTACACGTTGGTACGTACCATGTGGAAGTGACACCAAGCAGTCTTGTTATTTAAGCTTGCGTTTACATCCGGAAATCGGGATGGAATTATGGCAACGTAGACGGGCCTTGCTGCAACGAGCTTGTTGATGCCTGTCAATGTTGCTGCAATCATTGCGCATCAACGCTCCACAAGCATTTTTGTCCCTGCTGCCATTGACGTTAGCGGGCATGAATTCTGCCACCCCATCAATCACCATGTTCATCAGAATTACGCCCATCGTTGCCTATAAGGCCTTGGTGCATTTCAGCAACATTCACATGCAGTGCATCAAAAAGTTCGTGGCAGCAAGGCCCAGCAACGTTGCTGCAACTCCACCACGATTTCTGGATGTGCGTTTTTACCTTTGCGCTTTGACGCGCAAAAGAGGTAAAATACAGAAGCGGCTGTTTTGCGGCCATAGTTGCATATTTTGTCTGCGCATTTGGATACCCAGTTTGCATGATGAAGCCGCACACAATGATCAGTCTTCCGCCCCGTGAGAACATGCAACACGGCGTCCACCTCGCTCTCGGCAAGGGCAATGATGTTGTCGCAGAAGAGCTCGTCTTCTGTCCACTCCAGCGTATATGGCTGCCGCTCCCCGGAGTTCTTCAGCCTGCATGTGCTGTCTTTATGTACGCGACATTTATACATCAGCGGCACTCCCGTGAAAGTGCGCTGAAACGCCGGGTTTTCAGCTAGGTGGCAGCCTGTGAGTGTCGCCAGTGCGTGTGCGTCGATGCACACGGTGGGACGTCCCACCAGGCTTGTCATTTATGGCGTAAATACCTGCGCATGTGCGCTTAAAGATAGTTTGAACGTTTTTACGGGCCTGCATTTACGTATACACAAACTACGCATGCTCATGCGTAAAAGACACTATTTTTAATGCAAAAACGCAAATGCGATCTTTGTTTTCACTGTAAGAAACAGCTCCAGTACCAAGGATGGTCAACACAGCGTCATCGGAGGTGTTGGGTCTGTATGACGGCCTAATACCAACTACCAGGCATAGCTGGCAGGGTTGCAGCGCGACAGCGACGCGTTTAAACGCGTAAGGGGGGCAAATTTGCCCCCTGAATGGAGGTCCTCAGGCAGGGAGGTCAGGCGCTGGAATTGAAAGCAGAAAAAACGCCGCCATCAGGTGTGGAATGTGCATGCGTGACAGGCCGCTCATGAGCGGCCCGTTCAATCCTTGGGACTGATCAGTCCCAAGGACTGAATGTGAATGCATTCACGTGCATGCACACACGTATATGCATTTTATCAGCGTTCTGCATGCTAAAACACGGAAATAACACAAACCCGTAAATTTTGTACACATTTAAACACGTGTTGTTTGGCCCTTTTTCCCAGTGACTTGCTTCTTGCCGGTTGGGGAAAGCACGTCTGCCAGAGGGTTTGCGACGTGGCCTCACGGCAGGAGCAATTCAATATTTTCGTTTCTTGTCTTTCAACAATCGATGCAGCCATTCTGCGGATGACTTTAAATTATTATTTGTACTAAGTCATGGATCTGTCACATTGTTTTGCTGCCTCAACATTCTCCTCTCATATGAGTGCCTGGCGGCATTCTCAAACCCGCGCACACATAATGTTTTCATCTCGAGTACAGGCTAGGAATTGATAAGCGAATTGTGCTTCTGTCTTCTGACAATTGGAAATCACGTGAAGTGCATAAAATCCAGATGCAAATTGATGCAATCCAAATGTACGACAGATTTAATCCTGGAAAGTTATTCTTCCTGCCAGTGACAGAAGGCGAGGCGGTTTGGGCTCCATTCTGGTCTCTTCATCCCAGTTTTTCTGCCAATAATTTGCACCTTTTTCCAATGTTATTCCTCTTGTCTTGTCTATTGACGGATAGGCCTTTGGACTCCAAACGCCTGAGTGGTCAGCTCCTCTTGATTCAGAGTCGGTGGCATCCTCATCTTCCTTTTCTTGTCAATCAATCAAACAACCAATCAATCAATTCAGCGAACCAATCTTTCTGAACCAACCTTTTAGCAGCTGACTGGCTGATCCACTGATTAACTGACTGACTGTCGGATGGATGGATGGACTAATTGGTTGATTTACCGACTGATTGACTGACTGATTGACTGTACTTGGATGACGATGGCCACCTTGCTATTCTCGCTTTCTCTGATTGAATAAATGCAATTCCCTGAGCTCGTGCGCGAGGATTTGCACACCCGACATCGCCCCAAAATGGATGCAACAATTGATGCTTCGCGCGGTCATTCTCCCTCATCTGCCGCGCGCTAACGACCCGTCCCCGACTGCTGGAATTCCATTCCCGGCATCTGGGAATATGCGCCAGCTAGATGGAGCACAAGCGGAATCCACGGAAGCCAGAACGTCGCGAGCACCGCCCTCGCGGCCTCTACCACTCCCACACCACGCGCCCCCCCCCTCTCCGTCCCCCTTCCGTCCTCGGCATCCGGGAATATGCGCCAGCCTGATGAGCGCACATGGCATCCAGGGAAGGCAAAACGTCGTGGGCGGCGGGGCCACACTCTCCGCCCCAAACGCGCCCCAACCCCCTCTCTCCTGTACCCCGCAGTACTCCGAACCCCAACCAATTTGCCCGAAGTGCGACGGGAGTGGGCAACCCTGTGCACGAGATGTGTGCACCCTGACGGGCTCCACACTCACTTCAGGCCACGGGACCGGCCTGGGGGCGGCAGTTCAGCGGCCATGTTGCCAGAATTTGGGGCCCCCGCTGCCCGTCACCTCAGGCGGCTTTGCCCGGCTGGCCCGGGCCCCAGGGCACACCATTGGCTGGCAGCATGCGACGTCAACCAAAGGGATAAAAGCAACAAGGTAATCTTTAAAGACCAGGACTGTGTCGGGTCTTGGCTGCTGCGGCGGATGGGCTTCCATTCCTGCTGCGCCTACGAGCTGCATCGGGCAACGTTAGCGGGCGCGCGGGCATCCCGGCTGGGGCTGTTTCCCTGGGAAACAGCAAGGATCTGAAACCAAACTAAACAGAGAAGAACCCTGAATTGCGAAACAGCAAACACAACGCTTTAATCGGAGGGTGCGCGGATCCGGATCCGCCTGGGTGAGATTTCATGGCGTGGCGCGGCTGAGCTGCGCGGATCTGGTCGGGTTGGGCGGCAATCCGCGTGGGAGATCCTTTTGGGGGGCGGGGATCGCGGCGCTTGAGCGGGTTGAAAGGGGTGGGGTTGCGGGCTGGATGGTCCCGGGACCGGGGACGGGGTTTGGGGCACTGACCGTGGCGTTACCGGGAGGGGGGGGGCGGGCGCGAGATGGTTGTGCTTTGCGAGATTTCGGCGAGATACGGCGGGGGATGATGTCGGACGTGGTGGCGCGCAGGTGGGCGCAGGCGCGTCCGCCCGCCCGCGCTGTGCGGGCAGCACAGCCCTCGGCTGGAAGGAGGTGCGCGAAAGAGGCGGTGGGCGACGCGGAGCGCCACTGACTGTGGGGATTTTCCGATGAACGGGAACGGGAGCGGCAGCGCGGCGCCTGGGGGGGCCTCGAGCTCGTCTCCGGAAGGTGAGGGACCGGCAGCGCAAGAGGGCGCCCACCCGGGGCGGGGGGCGAGGTTCCCTGGCAGGGAGGCGCACGGCCCCGAGCACCACGCGAACATGGTGTTCCTGCTGCGGCTGCCATTCCTGTATGCGCACACGCTGGCCAAGACGAACAAGAAGTGGCTGCAGAAGCGGCACCGGAGCAGGTGGTGGAAGCGGGGTCACTTCCCCAGGGTGAGTGGGGGGCGGGGGGGGGGTGTTATTGGCGCCGGCGACGTGGCTGGGAACGGGATGCGTCGAGGGCGCAGATCGCCGTTGTAGGGTTGCAGGGAAATGCTGGCCTGCCGCCGGGCTGTCGTAATGCCGATTTCAAGTTGAGGATGCGAGAACCCACTTTTTGCGTGTGGAAATTGTTGCTAAAACGGGCGGCCGCCCAGCGAAGAAGGGTCGGGTTCTGTAGTTGGAGGTTCGCGGCGCATGCTGCAGTGCTCCGACTGCTCTGGGCTGCGCGCTGGGATTGGTGGGTGCGTTCATTGCTGGCATTGGGGTTTGTGCCCCTGCCTCACGGAGTCCGCCTGATGTTCTTGCTGAGGGTTGCGACGTGTGGGGCGCTCAGGTGCCGAGGGACACGGTGGAGGACGTTGTGCTGAACGAGGTGCCCGAGTTGGTGCAGAAGATGGCTCCGCTGGGCGTCCTGTTCTTCTGCGCCACCTTCAACCTCTGCATCCTCCAGGTCTGCAACCTGTGCTGTGTATCATCTAGAGCAAGTTGGTTGCGTCGATTGCCACGTGTCTTACAGTCTGGACATGAGGTGGAGGTGCTTGTGGATACGATCATGCTGCGACCCCGTCCACAGAAACAATGGCCTTGTCATCCGTGCAGTGCTTTCCAGCCCACGAAAATACACATTCAGTCAAGTGGTATGTTTTTTTTTTGCTATGGAGCTGTCGTGAATGGTTGAGGAATGGCCAAGGCAGTCAGAAATTTTTGCAAGTCGTGATATTGTGCCAAGCCTTTCCCTGTACAGTAGGTGGATATTTTGCTTGTGGACATAGTCTGAGGTTGACTAATGTTTGGAATATTGTAATTCCCTGAAAAAGACCAAACTGCCACGCAACTCCTGCAGGGAAGTTGCAGAGTTGTTTTCTTTTGGTTGTATTTGCTACAATTTGCACAGTGCTGTCCTTGTAGCAACGATGGGCATCAATGATGGTCCCTGTTTGGTGTGTGGCGATTGTCGACTGACTGCCAAATTTGCTGTTTGCCAACTACAGAACCTGAAGGATTCACTGATTGTCACCAGGCTGGGCGCTGAGACGCTGCCCCTCCTCACCTCCCTTGGGGTGCTGCCTTTGTCAGTTGTTTTCATGGGATTCTACAACAAACTGGTAAGTGCCAAGGCTTGCTAGGAACATTCAGCATGTAAGAAGGAGCTTGCTGCATTCAGTCTCAAATAGCAGTCGGGTGCATTGCGTGCATCGGCTTGTTGCTGGTCCTGTGGATGCGCTGTGGCAGCGAGATAAGCTGGTACAGTTTGTTCGGAAGGATGGGAGGGTGTGGGCCATCATGCTTAAATAGATACACCACTCAAAGAGTGCTGGCATTTGTTTGGCGCAAGTGGCGGCATCTTGCTGTGTGGCAGCCTGCATTGAGTCGCTGCTGGTCTTTTGGCACTCCCTTCTGTATGTACCTTTCTGCAGCTGTCTGGAAGAATTGTAGAGCATCTGCCTGTGATCTACTTGCAAGTCTATCAGCATGTACCGTTCGTTCCACACAGCAAATAGGCAACTTGTGGTCAGTTCATGGTCTGCTCCTTGTGGTCTGCTCCTGAACTACGACATTAAGACAGCACCAGATTCTGGCCATCAACAACTATGCCGCAATTGTGGCTCCAGAATCTGAAGCTCCTTTCATTCTGTGGTCTGGGACTACCATAGTGCATGCCGAAAGTATGTACAGGTACACTACACAAAGGCATACGTGCTACAGGGATAGCCAGTTCCATCCAGAGAAGTTGGACACCACTGCCATGACAAATGTTGATTGGATGTGTGCTGGCGTGCTAATGACAGTCTGTGAACTTATATTATTATATGTTGCATCTGCTGTCTCCAGGTCTCCCGCTTCCCTTTCAAGACAGTCTTCTACTTTGCTATTGCTCCTCTTGTTGCGGCATACGCTATCTTCTCCTATGCTGTCTTCCCCATCGCTGACTTCTTGCACCCCCATGGCCTGTTCAACACCTTTGCTAGCGCTGTCCCCACGGGCCTCCACGGTGCTCTGAAGATCTTGGAAAACTGGACGTTTTCTTCCTTTTTCTGTGTCGCTGAGCTCTGGGGTGCCGTGGTGATCAGCGTCCTGTTCTGGTGAGTCTGTCAAACAACCATCCCTGTTTGTTGCTTTCCTTTGTGTAGTTCAAGACATCGCATCACATTTAGGATTCCAGGTACCGCTCCTGACCTGTAAAAGCAAAGATGCAAGACTTATGCTACCTCTGAGAATGTGCAAGGCGATGTAAAGCCCAAACATTGTTGGCTTCAATATGAATGCTCAGTCTCATAACGGAGAAATGCAGCACTCTGGGGGCCTCTAGGAGCTTTTGAGTCATAAGAAAGTGCAGTGGCTGGTTTGCTCCCATGATATGAATCGAAAGAAGTTTGCCAATAATAGCACATCATCCATGGTTAGTCCCACACAAAGCCGTACTCACCAATCTCAGTCTCGTATAGTGCATCATTGTTGGTGTTGTGAATCAGATGTCATGGAAGCTGCAATGTGGTAGAACATGTGTCGTCGGCTCATGCACCCAAAATTCCATGTGCAACAGTTGTCTGTATCGATGCGCAGCTGGGCCAACCTGCAGCGCTGGGTGTTTGCATCGACCCAAAGAAGCATGGGAAGGTGTCTGTGACATACTAAAAAGCCATCCAAGTATTCGATCTTCTCAATGTATCTCGAATCGCATCAAATGCTGTGAAGTGCAGCGCAGCCCCAACAGTTTGGGTTTCATTGAAGCTGTCTACTTTCACGTACAGCAGTACACCAACACCCAGGTCACAGCAATGGTCCATATGCCAGTCACAGCAGCTGTGCTGTCCTGCTTCTTTGGATGCCTTGTCCTTGTGCTGTGTAATGTTGTTTCGTCAGGAATGTAAGGAGCACCAGCTCAGCCCTTGTCCCACAGCATCCTCAACAGCATGTCCTGTATCCCTGTGGAAACAGGGAACATCATTGGCATCTGGGAGGTCTTGGACTTGCATTTGTGCTGAACTTCCTGTGAAGTGCATAATGTTTCTGCAGCAGCTGCTTGTTCCCACAGTCACTGATTTAGGAGAGGTTTCTGGCAGAGAATGGCTTTTTTATTTTCCTAGTTAGTTTGAATTAGTTTGAAATCTACACTTCTAGTTCTTACTCTGGATTTGTTTATATCCATGGTGCACACAGTTGCCAGCACAGGAGGAACACAATTTTGCGCGTAAGGCAATGTTCTCAGTTTGTCGAGTCGAATTTGAATTACTGGACATTCCTGCGCTGCCTACCATCGCTCTGGATCGTCATATCACCTTGTGCCTGCAGGTCCCTGGCAAACGATGTGTGCACAGTGGATGAGGCGAAGACAATCTACCCGCTGATGGGAGTTTCTGCCAACATTGCCCTTGTCATAGCTGGCAATTTTATCAAATTTGTGAACAAGAGCTTCGCAGGTGGCTCCATGCAGCTGTCCTTCCATTACCTGATCGGCACTGTGATTGTGATGACGGCTGCGATGATGGGGGCGAAGCTGTACATTGACAAGAACATCAAGTCACACCGTGAGTCCCCAGTCTGCTGTGGTCATCCTTGTAATTGTTTGTTGTAAGTCTTCTTATTCCAAGTTCAATTGATTGTTGAGGAGATCAGATGCAATCCATGTTGAATGAGTGGAAATGCGAGTCTTTTTGGATGTCACAAGATGGTGCGGTCTGTAGACAGTGGACATCACTGGCCACCAGACATAGCGTGCTTGGTGCCATGTGTGTCTGCCCCAACTGCAGGAGAGTGTGGCCGACCCACTCTCATATGGCATGCTGGGTGCATAGCTCGGTGGTTGCACGTGTAAGAGTTCACACCTAGGCGCTGCCTTGGCACTTATCAGACGATATCAGGCAAGTTGCTGCAGGCACTTATGGTGGACTACTCGTTTTGGAATAAACAGCGGCACATCAGCTGAAAGAGTCAAACTTCTGCAAGAATGCCTATTCTGCCCTGTAGTTGTGGGACAAATTTTTTGTCCAGGAATGACTAGTTCTCTTACTGGTGGGCTATCACGACAGGGCAGAGTCAGATGTCACATGATGTTCCAGTTGCCACACATTATGTGCACAGTTTGGATGGTTTTGTCTGATGACAGAGGCATATGACAGGAGTAGTGCGCTCCACCATGCTGGTAAGAATGTTGCATCTCCTGATATGCTCTGGAAGTGAAAAGGCTTTTGTTGCTGCTCACTTGTGCCTTGCCTGTTGTTGCAACAGACAGCGATGACGATGAGGAAGTGCAGCAACAAGCTGCCAAACAGAAGGCAAAGAAGAAGGGCACCTTCCGTGAGGGCTTTGCGGTGATGAAAGGCTCCCCTAAGATCATGAACCTTGCACTGCTGGTGATCGGCTACAGCGTCAGCCACCGACTGTTTGACATAGCATGGAAGAGCCACCTCAGTGTGGTGTTCCCAGACCCCATCCAGTACCAGACAGCACTGGCAGATGTGTCGGTCTGGACCGGCGCCGCCACGATCGTGACCATGTTGACTGGCAAATTTGTGTTCCAAGTGAGTTAGCGGGGAGGCAGCTCAAGTCCATTGATTCTCTTTGTTCATGTGTGCAAATCATAATCCGATGCCTGTGGAGTTGATGATGCACAAATGCAGGCACCTACAGTTTGCTGGTTGAAACTGGCCTTGTAAACATAAATTTTCAGAGGACACATAGAGTGCCATGGACACGTAGAGTGTCATTATGGTGTTGTCTGTGCCCCACCCTGCCAGTACCCTGCAGGCATCAGTGCGATTTGGGTTGTGCGGAGGGGCCATTGTACCATGGACAGCCTGGTGTCATTTTCTGTTTGGTAGGTGCTCACAGTGCCCCTTTATCGTCACTAAGAAAGACTGAGGTTTTGGGAAAGAGAGCTGCAGATTTGATTCATGGTCCTGCACAGCATGCAAAGCTGTCTTCAGTTCTGAGCAACGTTGTAAGCATTCATTAATCGGCTGCACGATTGAAGTGGATTCTAATGGCAGTTACCAGTTGTTTCAACACCATAAGCTTGTTCACTACCACTTTAAAAAATCTGCAGCAGCAGCAGTCAATCCCCATATGTTGTCATCCTGTTGACTGAGGTGGTCATGGGGGAGCTCAGGCTGTTTATCAGCCACTCCAGCGGGCAGCCAGGCAACTGGTAGTGCAAGGCCAGAGAATGAACCATGGAACGGCAATTGTGGTATGTCGTGTCATGTCATGTATGACATGTCCGTACTTGGACAATTCTCAGTGGGAGCAGTTGTGTTACTGCTATGTAATATGCTGACACCTGACTGCATAAAACAAAAGTTTATTCTGCAGTTCCTAAGCCTTCTGCTTTGTGTGCCCACAGTACCTTGGTTGGGGGACAGCCGCACTCGCCACACCTGTTGTGCTGCTGTTGGCAGGCGGAGTGTTCTTTGGCTCCTCGTTGCTGTCTGTGGCGGGAGGGGCAAGCCTCGCAGTGGCAAAATTTGGAGCAATGGCGGGAAACTTGACACAGGTGAGCAGGTGCAGCTGCTGTCATCGCCAAGCTGCAAAGCAGACCTGCTATATCAATCAGCTTGTCAGTGGTCTAGGCCAGTACTTCAAGCTCAGTTGCCTGCACTGCACCAGCGTGGAAATCAATATTCAGGTACAGAGCAGACATTCACTATTACTTTTGTGTGGAAATCCTAGCGCTCTTGCAAGGGCTCACATCAGCCCATGCACATGTGTTCGATTCTTTTGCAAGACAGAGGACTGGACATGCATCGAGCTGTGCCCACCAGTCAGCTGCGAGAGTAATGTTGAGTTGCCTACTCAACTTTAAATTGATGAATGACAGGCAACGTATACATGATTGCCTGGCTCAATGGTAGCCAGACAATGGCTCGGGCATTTGTTGGTGTTGCAGTTTATGTTTGGTGTTTGCCTTGCACTGTGGTTGAAAATTGTTCACTAACAGTTACCCTATTTGTTAAGCCCTGAGTAGTCTCGCATACATCTGCAGCTTGATATCTTATCGTCTGTGGGGTAAACATTGTCCGCCTGGATCAGGAGTTTTGTTTTTGTCTTTCCTGTGTTGATCCGAAGGATCTGCATCGCAAGCAAGAGGAAAGGCCTCGTGTCGATCGATCAGAAGATTGCATAGAGTGTGAACATTTGAATCCCCGTGTAAGATATCTCTGATCAGCCCACAACCTCAAAGCTCCACCCCTGAAGCATACATGTGCATGTGTACGTGTACCACATTCCAGGTTTCATGCAAGGCGGCCAAATATTCACTGTTCGACCCAGCGAAGGAGATGGTGTACATCGAGATGGACAAGGATGAGAAAAGGAGAGGCAAAGCAGCCGTGGACTTGGTGGGCAGCCAAGTTGGAAAATCGGGAGCATCGTGGTTGTCACAGGGGCTTTTGGTTTGCTTTGGCTCTGTTGCTGCGTCCATGCCAGCCATTGCGACACTGTTCACGGGAACTCTCATGTGAGTTGGTTATCAGATAACAAACAAATAAACTGGGGCAGTGTGGTGCTGTTTGTTGTGCTAAAACACAGAGCAGTGGAGATGAGTGACAGTGATGAATAATCCCATTCCGGTAGATGTTCAAATGTGCAATGTGGAAAATGTGACCCCCTTGGTAATTTCAGCGTTGACCTCAGGAAAGCAACGCAACAATAATTGAAGTGAAAGAGAGAGCCACCGAATGAAAGAGAGTCGACCGATTGCTTACTGAAATGTCATGGAAGTTGAAGTGGGGTCCATCAGAGAGGGGAGGTGCCCCATTCCTGACGTCATTCAATTCGTGCTGTGGGCGAAGGGCAAAAAGGGTAAAAATTGGGTAAAAGGGGGTATTAAGGGTAAAGATTGGCAAAAATCCACTTGGCATATCAATCTGGGTGAATTCTCAGTTCGAATGGTGCTCAGGGTCACCCTTGATGTGGGAATGGAAGATGCATTGACCTCATAGGCAAGGGGGAGGCCACTGTGCCTCTGTGTGTCTGCTGCAAACCATGGTGTTTATTGTATTCAGGCCCTCGCTAGCAGCAAGGGAGTATCAGGCATTTTGGTGGGTGTCAATGTAACCTGAACACCATTCACAAAGTAGACCCCAAGCAGTTGCTATGGAAATGCCCTTGCCGGGTCAATGAATGGAGCTCCTTGGAGAAGGGAAGAGACTGGGGAGAAATGATCCTGTGAGAGCTGTGCAGCCAGAGCAATGTTTGTATTTGTCAAGTTGTGCACAGCATACATGTCAACAGAACCAAGCCCTTTGACCCAACAAATCTCGTTTGGGTGATGCGATGGGCTTCACAGCAGCCCAAATTTGTCCGCAGAATCAAACAAAGGCAGTCGTACGTTTTTGACTTTGTCGCAGAATGGAATCCTATCGCACAGTGACACAGCCCACTGTTTTTCCCATGATGGTATACCAGCATACCAGGACAACTGCTGGCAAAAGAAACGTAATGCAAGACTCATAGAGCTTGTGCAACTGGATAAAAAATGTTGCTGCTGTATGTTTGTTCGCTGCTGCTCAGCAGGAATCAGGCTGCATTGGGTAATTCGCTCAATGGGTAGGCAGTGAATGTGACCCTTGCTGCTTGTGTCGTTTGCAGGATGTGGGTGGTCGCAGTGGTGAGACTGAAGGACCGGCTTAAGGAAACTGAGGAGCAGCGCAAGGCGGCCATGGAGCTGCAGAAAGAGAGGGAACGGGAAAGGCAGGTGGCATCTGCAGTGCACGACCCAGAGGAAGCAGTGCACCACAGTCCCAAGGTGGTCACGTTGCCTGGCGCCACAGAAGGACCCATTTCGAATGGCGTTGCTGTCAACGGCAACGGAAAAACAAGGCACATCGAACGCAGCAAACTGACTAATGGAGCTGGTCCCAGCCTGCTTGTGAGGAAGGGCCACAAGGCAGGAGGGAATGGGTTTGTGAGCGTGAGCGACACAGAGCTGAATGAAGATGCGAGTGACCCAGACTCCAAGGTGACGCCTAGGTGACTGACGGGTGCTTGGCAGTGTTGGGATTTGTCTGCAGGAGTGAAGTTTGGTTGCATCAATGAGCCCAGAGTGGAGCGGGGGCTGTCGGGCCGTGCCTGAATTTTCTAGTTGACGAGAGCCGAGTATTGTTTTATTTGTTGCTGCACCTGGTCACTGTCGGTCGGGGGTGACCTGCGTGCAGGGGGATGCGGGCACCTCGCTTGGGCAAAGGCGCACACAAGCTTGCCTGTGCCATGGGGGGGATTCTTTGAAGACCTTGGAGACTTTGATTTCTTTTGTGCGTGCTGGGCGGGGAACGGATGGTGCGAGAGTGAAGTGCGCTGGCGGCGCCCCAATGGTGCATGGAGCGTGCACTGTCGAGTGCCAGTTTGTGACAAGTCAAGCGTCGGAGTGCAGGACCATAGGAGTGACAGCGTGTAGGGAGTGACAGTTTTGGGCGGGGCCCATGCTGGGTCTTGCTAATATCGTGGGGGCCCCCGTTTTTGGGGGTGGGGTGGGGTGGCTCTTGGCGGCGGCGCCACCAAGACATGTACCATTTACCAGGGGAATCATCTGTGGCTGGGTTCCCATACGGTCGGCTGCACTTGGGCGGCTGCAGCGTTGAGATATTATGAAAGACAAACCTGGAACCGCCGTGTAAACGCAGTGAGAGACAGAGAGCGGCGCCAACACACATCCCTGCAGCAAGATGTGTTGAGTTGTGTGTGGGATGTTGGAATTTGAAAGACGGCCACGAAGCTGTCCGCCTGAGGGTGGGGCCTCCAGCAAAATCTGGCCACCTGGGTGCGCTGGACGTGGGCTGAGACAGCTCCTAGGTCGCATGCGTCGAGGACGGAAGCTGCAGCGCCTGGGTGACATCACCGAATTGGCACCGATGCAAATTGTCGGTACCGGCCACAGCGGTCAAGAAAACAGCGGCCTTTGCACCTGCATATCATGCAGAACTCGATGGTCGCGCGGTATCACTGCTTATACTGAAAATCATGTCCGTGTACACTGTCGTTGAAGTGCCGTTTCCTGTGAAGGGCACCAGCTTATGGACGCATTGATGATCAGACAACCTGGCACAGGTGCACGTTGCTCATTCGGCCATTGTGTGTGGGTGTTGGGTCACCCAACTTGGATGTACACACAATTTCACGCAAGTGGGACACTAGTTTTTTGTCCCAAGCTCCCAACGGTTATGCCATCGAAGTCATTGAATATCTTCAGCAGAACATCAAGTTCAGTCTGGAACCTACCCTTTTGTGGCCAGTCAAGATCCCTAGATCTGAGAGGCACCAGAAAAGAGAGCAAGAACTTTGTACAAAGATGTCTGGTCATGAACGGGTTGCCTCCTAGCTAGTTGCTGGAGACTACCCCGTGGGAAGCGGTTGTGGCTGCCAGCTCGAACGCCTCTTAAGTGCTGTACGGTTTTCCCAAACCGCAGCAAATTTGCTACGTTTTCAATAGCCTCAACCATCACAATGGGAGTGGGTGGGTGGGGAATAAGGGGCACCGGTGCGGATGTGCGCCGGCATGTGGGAAAACAGGCGAAATGTGAGCGATTTCCAGTGAAGTGCTAATCTACTAGCCGGCCAGCACAAGGTCGAGATGAGGCAATGCACACACACACACACAAACACTGTCCAAGTTCTCAGGCATACAATTACTGGCTGCACCAAATCGGTGACTTTCTGCACTAAACCAGAGACTGCTTGCACCAACTCCCTCCAAAACTTACCTAACCTATACCTAAGCCTAAACCCTAAAACCTAAACCTGAACCTGTCCTACTCCCAACCCTAACCCTAACCCTAAAACTCACCCTAAAGCCAAGCCTAACCCTAAAACTGAGGTTAGCACATGGTGTGCACGTGGTTAGGTGCAGGCAGTCACCGGTTTGGTGCAGGCAGTAACAAAAAAAAATTATTGACGGAAAATGACAAAAGGGGGTCCTCTGTGACAAAAGTGGGTCCTCTGACCCCCCCTGGTACATTAGGCGCGTTGCCAGACCGGCGCCCGTTGGCAAACCAGTCCTACTAGGGTCGACCCCGCAGAGGACCCCCTTTTGTCAATTTTCCTCTTGGGGGTGTTGTAGGGGTTGCCTTGGTTTCTGAATCTTACACTGCAGATACCTCCTAACAACTGCCACCGGCCCTCAGTAGTGGTGGTTGAATTTCAATCAGCTGTTTAAAACCCTAGCAAAAACAGACAACATTCACCACAGGGCCTTGAGCATATCAGTAACCCTTACTCAGAGATCCCACACAGCTGTACAACACAACTCAGTGTTCATGGTCTTCCCATAGTGAAAGCATTGTCAGCCAACATCAGTGGGAATGCCACAAACATTCTCACAAACCGTCAGCATCCATGCCCGGATCCACCATAACCGTCCCACAAAACTCTGTTCACACTCACAACCACATGGTCTGCCAAAGTTTTTTGGCCACTGGAAGTGACCTGTGGACTGCTGCCGAACCAGGAGCTCATAAAATGAAGGCAATGACAGCGAGCGACAAAACATATGCAACAAACGTTCTGGCAGATTGTCGAAAGCCATCCCCAGATCCCCATAGCTGTCCTCCACAAGTCGGTTCGCACTCACAGTTCCGATCTTTGCAACTCCCTCCTAGAGCTCCGATCGCCACTTGATAGCTCAGATAGCCCAGATAGCTCTGATCACCCGTTGCTCTCACCGCAGCTCCAGTGGCCGCTTGCTCTCCCCGCAGCCCCGATCGCCGCTTGGTCGCCCTTGCAGCTCCGATCGCTACGACTCCCTCCCACAGCTCCGACCGCTGCGTGCTCCCTGCGCCCTTCTGCAGAGGTCGCCCCTAGTAGGACCGTGATCGCCAGTCCGGTGCCGGTACGGCGTCGGTCTGGCGCCGGTCTGGCAACGCGGCTAATGTACGGGAGGCGGTCAGAGGACCCCCTTTGTCAAATCCCCCCCGCAGAGGACCCCCTTTTGTCACAGAGGACCCCTTTTTGTCAAGATATCTCACAGAGGACCCCCTTTTGTCATTTTTCTTATTAATAATGTTATTTAAATAACAATAGTAATATTATTTCAAATTCCCAGCCCTCCAGCAAAAAGCGTGGAAAAGCGTACGGGTGACACACCACCACAACGGAGCTGACTGTAAGGCGCCCCAACCCCGCGAATCTTGCGACTGGCACCTGAGCAGCTCGCGGACTGCCATCCGGATGTCCCTTACCTGCTGAAGTACGCGCAGCCGGGGCGGAGCCTCTGCACTGCGGTGGGGACACCTCCCGCGGCGGTCGAGATGCAGCACCAGATCCTGTTGGGAGGCCGCTCGCGCGCCGCTGTTGGCGGCTCGCCTGTGCCCGCCTACGTGCCGGTACGACCGACGCCAATTGCGGATGGCACGGACGTATCCGCGCGTGGCGTAGATTTGGTGCACGGGGAGGCGCGGCCTGCGTTGTTTGCGTTCAACTTGGGTAGTCGAAACTCGAGGAGGGCGCAAACTGAGTTCGGGGCTGCTGTCGGGCGATGTGCGTAATGTTGTGGCTGGGCCCCGTGTCGGGTGTTTTGCGTCTAGCTGGTGGAATTCCAGTCGTGCGATCCACGAGGAGTTCGGGTGAATCCGAAGGATGGAGCTTTGCTGAACCTTTTGCATCTCGGGTCTGCTGATAACTATTGACGCTTCCAGCGCTTGGGTGGGTCCCGAGCCGGAAAGATTGCTGGGTGTGCGCTGGGCGCGTTTCTGAAGTCGATGTTTGGCTTTGATTCAGGCATTAAATTGTTGATGTTGCTCTTTGCTAGGGTTGTTGTCAGCAGAGGCCCTGCAATGGTGCTGGACACAGGCGAAATGTGGCGGTTCGCTGCAAGGTGCGTTTGGCAGTGTGCAGGAGAAGTCGGCCATGGGTGTGGGTGGCAGGCATTTCTCAGGCTTGGAATTCGTTGCAATGGCAGCGTCGCCAGACACCAGGGGAACAACGCCCCACATCGCAAGGCTGGTGAAAGGCCTCTGCTTCGTATTGTCTCGACATATGCAAGGAGGGATTCTGGAACAAGACGACAATAACCTCAATGTATGTGACAAGAAATTGATGGCTCAAAATGCACCTGACGTATTTCATCGTCAAGTTGCTTCATGGGTAGAACAGCAACAGATGATTGAGCAGCCCAAGTTGGTCCTGTCTTGTCGCACGTCTTTGTCCCAAGGAGTGCATAAATATCTTGTCAGATTTTTGCCTATGTTTTCCTATTGCTGTCTGCGTTTTTCTTTTTAGCTGTCGCCAGAAGATTCCATCGTCAACGTTATTGCCTCTTTGAATGGCTATCTTCTACTACAATGGCCTGTCGTTGTCATCAGCACAGTTTGATCAAACTGGTGTCACAACAGTTTTTTGTTCTCACCGTGCAACTCAGCGTCAAGGCGCTCTCCTTTAGGCATTGCTCCTTGCTCTGTGCTGCACACTGGTTGCCTACTCTCGTGCTCAATCGAGGACACCGATTTTGATTGTCATGCGATGAAAGGCATGCACATCTGCAGGCTGCAAAGCCTGTGTAGTATTTGGCAAGAATGCAAGACAAACAATGTCCTTGCACTGTGAAGGCGATAGCAGCCACAAGCGGCAAGCAACTCAAGACTGTTGGGCCCCCAACAATCACACTGCCTCACTCTGGATGTTCAGCTGTGGATGGTGTTTCTTTTCTTGACTCATGTGAATGTTGAGGTTCTTATGAACGAATTGAGAGAGCTGTTTGTCAGTGCTCATATTGCCTTTCCCTTGTCTTCCCCCTCTAATAGGTGCCTGAATATGACAGTTCATTTCGATGAACGCTTTGAGGAGGTGTTTTTATCTTCCATTAATGCCAGAACGGATCCTGTGCTAATGTTACTGGTTGCCCTTATTGAACGCAGGCCGATGACTCAGATGAACAGGTTGGCAACACTGTGCTGAAAAAGCTGGCAAAAGCCTCTCGCGTGTCCCTTGGCCCAATAAGCCTCAGCTTTGGCGACGATTTCAACCAAGCCACACAAGAGGCCCCACAAACTAACGATGGAAACAAGGAGCCTGCTGCAGAAGAGGTCGACACCTCGCCGGACGAGGGGCTGCTGAAGAGGGCTGCTGATACTGCTGGTGTGTCACTCGGACCCATCAGCCTCTCCTATGGGGACGACTTCTCGGAGGACAGACGTTCAGGCACTGGTCATGAAGATGGCGAGGCCAGTGCTGCTCAGACCTTTCCAAGCATCAATGACATGACGACTGAGGAGTGGCGCAAGAAGTACGAGCCTGATGGCGTTGTGGACTTGTGGGTGGAGGAGGAGTTTAATGCTGGCTCAAGGCTCGTGGGTGGGAGGGACGTGCACAAGGGCGGCGTGTATGGCTTCCAGACTGGGGAAGGGCCTTCGGCCAGGACCGTGCCAGTGCACAAGGTGACGATAAACAACCACTACGCTGACCAGGTGTTGGAGGTGGACGTTCCAGAAGACAGGTCAGGGTTGGAGATGCCCTCAGTGGTGGCTTTGCAGTTTCAGCTCGCAAATCCTCATTGCCTGCAGGCTATTGACGGTATTGTGCACTTCACACATCTGTTAGGTGCAGCGCATGCTTTTGATCAGTGACTGCTTGCTTCAGGGCCACGAAAATGCAGGTTTCCAGATGACCACTTTGTTGTTTGCACCTCTGGTAGCTGTGGAGTTTCAGAGCTCATTTGGAATATGAATTGAGCCCTCATCACCCTGTCTTGTGCTGTCCAGTTTGCATATGGGGGCCCTTGCACCATCGTTTGTGGCATGGAGTGCCGCATTGCTGTCGATCAGGAAAGCTGACCAAAGCACAGCAACGATCGCTTTGGGCTGCATGTGCACGATTATGGTGGCACACTTCCTCCGCACAGCTGAGGCAATGTTTGGACTCGTTCTTGTTGGCCAGAATCTGTTCCCTGCTGATCATATTGTGTCCAAGGGTTTCCCCAGACACCTGATTCTCTCTTCATTTTGACAAATGTGTCCCAAAGGCAACCAGGCCTTAGATTTTCGCTCTGTTCTGACTAATACACTCTGGGGAATAGGGTATACCGCGTGTTCACGTTGCCAAGCAAACGCACCCCAAGGAGTAAGGCACGCCTTCTTCTTGGTCTGTCTGCCAGGTACGTGCTGTGGGAGGCAGAAGACCAGGGCCTGGAGCTGCCCTACGCCTGCAGGATGGGCTGTTGCACCGCCTGTGCCGTGCGGGTGCTGGAGGGGGAGATGTACCAGCCCCAGGCACTGGGGGTTTCGGAGGAGCTGAAGCAGAGAGGCTACGCCCTCATGTGCGTGGGGTACCCGCGAACGAACCTGAAGCTTGAGACAGTGGAGGAGGACGAGGTGTATGACCTCCAATTTGGGAACATATTTGAGGAGCGCGCCACGCACAAGGGGATGGCGTCCATTGACAGGGACGATTTTGCGCTGGAGTTGGCTGATATGGACGAGTGATTGCCATGGCGTAAACGGGCAAGTTTCGTGGCCTGCAATTGTTTACCGTGTATCCCAAGGATGACTGTTGCAGCTTGTGTGTATCGATGGCGGTGACCGACGGTGTAGCTGTGGCTGCGATCCATGCCCATTTGGGATTGTGAGGTCAGCGATTGTGCCCCTGCGCCCATCTGCAGTGTGCTGGCAGGTGATGACCACTGTTATTTCGAAGGATGATTCCACTCCTAGTTTTGGCTGCAGGACTAGCTTGCAGATATGTTGACGCGGGCTGGAGAAGAGGCTGCTGAATTAAAAGGCATGGAGAGTCGTGCATGGAACAAGGGAAAGCTGTCCAAGATTTTTGGTGTTGTTGTTGCAACCTGCAAATCATTGTCATGACGGCTATGCACTCTCAGTGACTAAATCGCGAATCGTTGCAGACATCTAGACGACATGCTCAAAGACTAGGAAAAGCACAACAACACAGGTATCACAGCAGCCTGGCGGTAGTACTGACAGGTGCTCGGGTCACCAATAATGAGCCCATTATGGCTCCATTATGCGCCACTCAGTTGCAACAAACTGGTGCCCCGTGAGGCCCAGAGTTCCGCGGCATGGGACTCCAGTACGGGGGAGCCATGGCCGGTCAGAGAGGAATCGTATGAGTAAGGGGTCTACTGGGGCGGTATCGACAGCCCAGGCTACGGCGACAGGGTCCAGGTTCAGCAACAGCCGGAGCGATACGCTCTCGTAACCTGTCCAACTAAGCAACCCAGCTCGGGAAGCACATCCGAAGCCGCGCGAGCTGTCGGGGCTCCGCGCCACCTCCAGGGGCAGCGGGGGCCCCCAAACGCCACGCGGCGCAGACCCACTGACAAGCGACCCACGCAACTCATTCAGGGACAGACAGGGGAGGACCCTGCAATGAGAAACTGGAGCAATGCCCTTTGCTAAATCGGGCGGCTCCGTGGACATCCATTGGTCGGCGATGGAGGGGTGCAGCCACACGGTGGCCACTTGTACCCGTGTAGGAATTGGCCCCTTCCGCCGGGGGAAATTTTCGGCCTCCCCAAGGCTTTTTGGTCTGCCCGCTTCGCTTTCGGGCGGAGGGCTTGTCGGCCCAGAGCCCCTGATCCGAATGCCCCGGGCCCGAGCTGTTGGGTCTCGATGGTCCGGATGGGCGCGGGCAGCGCGAGGGCCGATTGCGTCAATCTGAGCCGGTGGAATCACGGGGCAGGGACCCCACGCCGAGCTGACTGGCGGAGGTTTGCGGCGGAGTCCCTGTGCGTGAAACGCATCGGCCGGGAACCCTAGGTGGGGCAGCGCGGGGGTAGCGGGGATGGCAGGCTCCGCGGTTTGATGGATGCTCCCCGGGGCTGACTCAATGGGGGGCCTGGTGCGGGTGCGGGGTGATGAGGAATCGGGATATCGCGGTCAGAATCGGGCAAGATCGGGCGCCATCAATTTAGCCTGTATGTTACTGCGCCGTGAGCCACACGGAAAAGGGCCAGCTGGGGTGCACGCTTTCTGGACGGTCATTATAGGGTAAGAGTGGTCATTATGGGGTAGGAAAAGTATCAGTCGATCAGAAATTTGATTTGTAAGCTAATGGTATTTTCCGTCTTTCATTTGACAAAGAATTGAGGATTTTAGCAGGATTATTCGCTGGGAATTGAGGGGCCACAGGGAACCAGGCTGTCCGATATGCCTGAGAAATGGCTGATGTGACTGATGGTTAGTCAGGGGGCTGCGGACGGGATGTTGGGACGCGCGTGCATAGATTCCATGTGGATTTCGCGCTGTGCGCTCGAGAAGGCCCTCCGTGTCGCCTGGGAGCAGCGCAAGGATGGCGGGTTCTCAGGGCAGCTCCCGCATCGACAAGATCTTGGAGTGGTGCCATGCCCAGTCTCTTCCGGGGCTGAACGACGAGTGGGATTTCTGCCACCAGCTGGAACAGTTCCAGGTGGCCCGACTTGCGGTGCCAAGCGGACAAGCGTCAGACTCAAGCGGGGTGCCTCAGGAAGACAAGAAGTGGAGGCGAGCGCGAGACCTACACGGCGCCCTGATGTCTGTGTGGGAGGACTCGCTGGCGGACGACCAGAAGATTTTCGATGCAGTCCTTTATGCCGGGATGGGTTTCCAAACATCCCTTGACATGTGTTGCGCGGCAGCGCGCAACAGGGGGTGAGAGAGCGTATCGGTGCGGGCGCTCGAAGGCCATTAAGCTGGGACCCAGCACCGGACCCCAAGTACTACGTACTTGGGGCCACACCCGAGCGCCAGTACCTGGGGGTACCCCAGGTACCGGTGGCCACCGCCCTAGTTCCGGTCTAAGCACTCTAACCCCTACACTGTCGTAACCGTAGCCCTCTTGGGCCGGTTACTGTAGGGGGTCGCCGGTATCCCCGGGTACCGGCTAGTGCGGTACATCACTCCCCCCCCCTAGTCGCGCCCCGCGACGATTGGTTGTCCGAGGAAGACAGGACTGGGCAATCTGATGCGAGAAGCGGGAGGTACAGTGAACGGGGGGGAGGTGGCGCCAGAAGCCCGCCGAAGGGACGGGGGGCGAAGAGAGTGCGGGGGCGACGAACAGCCGAGATAGCGCGGGAAGGAGCCGCGAAGAAAACAGCGTGGGGCGCAAAGGTGAAATGACATTTTGCACCAGTGATGTGCCGAACCCACAGGAGGTGGTTAATAAGGATGCGTCGGACAAGGCTGGGCGTAGTGGCCTGGGAGCTCACGGTATAGAGGGACTCCGAATAGAGGCAACCACGGGGAACCCAGAAGAAGGCGTAGGTGGTTCCCGGGAAGGCCCGGGACAGGAGAGGCACACACACATAGGGGAGTACAGTCGAAACTGCACCCCCCCAAGATGGGCAAGAGGCGTAACAAGGAGTGAGGAACAAGGGAGGGGGTGGCATGTCCAGCACATCCCCCCTCCGAGAATCCGTGGAGAACCCTGCAACACCGGCCTCTAAACCCGTACCAAGCAAGAAGAGACAATGCGGGCACCCTATAGGGGTCGCAATAGTCCCCAATGCGCGCCGCAACCCCTGAATGGCCAGGAGGGGAAGGGCAAGAGAAAAAGAAAGGGGAGAAAGGTCCCCCAGGTACTCCCCGAAGGCAGGGGGGGATCAAGGATCCCGCTGCTCCAGCCAAATCAGGCGAGTGATCCATCGAGCGTCCCGTGAGTACCCCCGCCTGGTGAACAGCGGGGAAGGGGGGAGCAGGCTCATCCAGCCGGAGACAAGGGCTGCAAAACAATACACAAAACGGGGGGCTCAAGAGGAGCAGGGGGACCAGCCAAGGGCTAGCGCGAAGATGGCGGAGGGCGCCGAAGCGGCGGCTGAAAGGCCTCCTTGGGCGAACGAATCAGCAAAGGGTCCTGTTGAGCCTGGAGTGCGAAGCGCTGCAACGCTTCCTCACAGTGGGTGAGGTTGCGGAGAGGTTCCCAGGAATTGTGACCCATATCATAGCCCTTCCATTTAACCAAGTAGTAGGGCTGACTGGTGCGACCACGCCGGACGATGGTCTTCTGGAGGAGGGCCTCGACCTCATACTCAAGCTCCTCATCCAAAAGCACCGGGGGAGGAGGAGGCAACACCGAATGGCCCTGGATGTACCGGCGCAGCAAGGAAACATGGAAGATTGGGTGCAACCGGCGCAGGGCGACAGGCAAGTCCAGCCGGAAAGCGACGGGATTGATGCGCATCTGAATCCGGAATGGACCCAGCCACTTGGGCAAGAGCTTCTTGGTACCGGGATGTTTCAAGTGGAGGTTCTGGGTGGACAGAAGCACCAGATCCCCCACTTGAAACGACTCTGCCTTCCGTCGAAGATCGGCCCAGTGTTTCATGCGCTGTTGGGCATTCTGTAAACACTGCTTGGCGCGGCGCAACGCGGATTCCCGATCTTGGAGGAAGGCAGGGACCCCGGGAATTTGAGGCAAGTTGGCTTGAGCCCAAGCCTTGGCAGGCCGACGCTGGAGGCTGCGGCCATTGCTGCGAAGGGGCAGCGAGGTGCGCTGTTTGAGGGGCAGCGACTGAGAGAAAGGGGTCTGAGGGTGACGCCCGTAGTTGAGAAAGAATGGGGAGTAACCCGTACTCTCTTGTTGCTCATTGTTGATGGCGAACTCAGCGCAAGAGAGAAGGCGATCCCAGTCGGTATGGGCAGCCCCAATGTACCGCCGGAGCATGTCTTCCAAAGTGCGATTCATGCGCTCTGTCTGGCCATCAGTCTGGGGGTGATAGGCCGAGGAGAGGTGGGGCTGCACACCAAGGCGAGCCAATAAGGCCTGCCAGAAGGCCGAAGTGAATTGGGGGCCGCGATCCGAGATGATAGACTCGGGAATCCCATGGTAACGATGAACACGCTCCATAAAAATGTCGGCCAGGCCAGCGGCGTCAATCGCGGTGTGGGTGGGCTCGACGTGGACCATTTTGGTCAATCGATCGACGAAAACGACGATGGCGTCGTAGTGAGGGAAAGAGGTGGTCCGAGGGAGCTGAACGATTAAGTCCATGGAAACACTGGCCCACTCGTGATCCGGAATGGGGAGAGGTTGTAATTCCCCCGTGGAGGGACCGGCCCGAGGCTTGGAGACCTGGCATGTATGACACCCTGCCACAAACGCCGCGATGTCTCGACGGCTGTGGGGCCAGTAATAATAACGGTGAATAAAGTCGACCGTCTTCGTCTCCCCGAAATGACCGGCATAGGAGGGACAGTGACCCGCCTCCATGATGCGTAAGCGCATTGAGGGAGGGACGAAGACCTGATC